CGTTCATTTTCACTTGAAATCTCTTCTGATGTTGGATATCAAGATTTCCGAGGATCAGCTTTGCTGTTCCGTGCTATCGTTCTAAGTGCATGGTCCACGAAACAACATAATGACAACTGATGATGTTCACTGTTCGATTCTGGTGTCTCTCCTACAACCTTCTGAAACTCCACGGTGTTTCTTAGGAGGGCCCTGAGATCACCGTAAACCTGGTGAGTTCCAGTGCCGAAGTGGCCGCTCCTTGTAGCCCCGACGTGAGTACACTAGACACTAGGAGAGAGTCAAAGCAAGTGCACTGTTTGCCAGTTACACCAGCAAGCACTGCTAGACGAAAAAGGAAATCGCCTTTCTAGAAGTTTCAAGAACCTGAATAGTAAAATATAAAGAAGCAGCCACTAACGCGGAGATTTTTGGAGGGCAAGATTTTACAAAAATTACCCCAGTTCCAGAAAGTGTGCAGGTACACTTTAAAAAGGGTCATATTTTGCTTAAATTTTGCGGCACAAAATGCCATCTAGTCTTGCCTTCGTAATGATTTGTAATTGCATTGCTTTCATGCAAAAAGTAAGCTTCGGCAAAGCTCCATTTTTTAGTTTTACTTTTTTAATCGGCTGAACTGTACTTTTCGCTGCGGTAACACGCCCAACATGGCCGCCGTTGTCGTACCTTTAGACTCTATAGCGATGCTACTGTAAAATCGCCACAGTATTAATAAAATCTCCTACAATAAATCGATGGAAATTTTTAATTGAATTATTTCATGCTTAAAGTAAGCGCTTTGCAAAGCTCTATTTTTGGCGTACACTTTATTCATCGGCTGAACTCGTATGGACAGGGTAGAACCAGTCTAATACTTTGCGCATCGCGCAGCTGCGCGGCCACCACCCACGGCATGGCCGCCGCAGCCGTTACTCTTAGAGTTTATGATAATTATTTCCAATCTTTATTTTGGAAAATCGTCAAGGTGGTCATAAAATTCGGTAAATCGATCGTGATTTTTAATGGCAACCTTTTCATGCGTGTAAGCTTCGGTAGAGTCTATTTTTTGCGTTAATGTTTTCTTGGACAGAACTCGCCTACCCAATGATATAAATTCAACGCCTCCAGTGCAAGATTCGACCAAAATCTCCTTGATCCGCTTTTCGAGATTCCAAATAAAAGGAAAATGTCATTTAGATATGGGGTAGCACTTCTCCTGGTAATTTGAGCGATCATATATAGCTACTTGGATTTAAGTTTTCTGCCGATAGAGAGATCGATGTCATCTGAAAGCCATCTGAAAATGACTCCAAAATTACGTCATCGTTGCAATATTAAGCGGCATACGCGTGGTCTAGCGCTAGCATCGTCACTAGATTTTGTTTTTTTGTTTGCTTTTTTTTTTTTTGTCCCCGACCTGATCAATGCACTATGCAGTTGAGCACACCTCACAATTATATTTCACGCGGTTTCACGAAGCACGGTGACCCTGCGTAGCATCTAAATCCAACAAATGGCTAATGTCCGGTCTGTGAGACCTAAGCAGGCTGGGGATATGAAGACGTAATCCTTTTATGTCAACGTCAGTCACTGAAAGCAATCTCAATGGTACTAGCTTACAGCGGAATACTGATGTAATTCAAACAGGAAATTTAAAACAACCTGACATGCTAACATTGGCTATATTTTTTGCATAACCTAACAGTGCCGGGTAAAAAGAAAATATAACCCAGTATTTTGTTAAAAATGAAACAAGGGTTGCGTAAAGGTGACTTCATTTAAGATTAAAACTGGAAACATGGTCGTCACAAGGGAAAATTGTCACCAGATTTTTGTGCAAATTTACATACAATAATTGGCTAAACATGACATCGAATTGAGTACTTTTGTATACTTTGGCTGTTTTGCCAACATTCCTTGGAAAATTCGAAAAAGAAAATTTATGTAATACTGGGCAATTATTGTAGAAGCGATAGGAATCGGAGGGTTGTTCTTCCCCCCTCTTTCTGATTGTTTGTCTGTCTCTCTGTCCTCTCCGCACAATATCTGACATCGTCACTAGTAGACTTTCGCTGTCAACTTAACCAGTTGGCTCTGGGTATACCGTCGTTCATGGGCAAAATAATTACATTCTTATGAGTATTTAATGGTAATACTGCTAATGATGTTTTCTTTAACGTATTGTGGATTCGTTTGTGTTACTTTTAATCTGACATATTCTCCATGTTATTATATTTGTGGTTTATTTCCTAAGGCGTCCATCCAATTAACCCTTCCTACACGGACAGTTATGGTACACACTGTGATATTGGACTTTTCAGTCTTGCACCATTTTGTGGCATTCTAAATGTCTGTCAAACAAAACAAAACAAAAATTGAATGAAAATATCAGAGGCCTAGAGTTGTGCCCCCGAATGACCCCACTAGCCAGTGAAAGTAATTGGTAAAAGACAACCAGAGCTTACGTAAACATTTGAATAGGAAAAGATAAAAGAAAATTGATCGTGCAATGTTTTGCAGATGAATTGCATCAAAATCCCCGAAAAATTCTAAGATTTTCAATCCTCTGGGATTTCTTTGCAATTTACATCCCTGCATATCCCCCAAAATTGGCAGTGACGTCTTCACTGAAAAAGAAAATGAGTTTCATTGAATCGTAGTAGAGTCAAAGCAGATGGCTGTTTTTTTTAAACCTTATTTTGTTGTATCCCACCAATACCGTTGCAGGGATTTCTTTTTATTTTTATTTTTAAGTGGATGACCTTTTCTTGAGGGTTACGTCTATCACTAAACTTCGTTCAAAGTGTTGACGTTAATGATTTGATATTGTCATGATCAAAGAAAGCTTGTCGTTATTTTTTTGGGGGGGGAGTTTTGTTTTGTGTTTGTTTTTGTTTTTTGTTGTGTCTTTGTGTTTGTTTTGTTTTGTTTTGGTTTTTTATGATTTTCTCTGCGAAAGACTATTGCTCTGTGTCATAATTCACTTTCATGACTTCGGTTCTATTTAAAATTGTCGGGTGGGCGCCGTTAGCTCTTTATAGAAGCTCATCCCAAGCACCTAGTAGGAAAATCTTTGCTCATGACGCACATTTCATTGTGCTAAGAACGTCCCTCCTTTAACGCGGGTAAACCCATGATTTCACGCGGCTTTTCCCCACATATGGCCCCTTAGAGGACATCTAAACATTGTTTAGACGTTTCTAGTCCAACCCAACGCACGTTGGTACTTCGTTTAATCACACCACGCTCTTGTTTACCAGAAGCAGGAGTGAATAAGATGGTTTATCTCGCACGTGCTTGTGAGTGATGTCAGAATGTTATGTGGTGTCGGGTTCCATTGCTTGGGGTGTTGTATTACCTGCATTGGTTGGTTGAGGTACAGAAACTTGGCTTGAGCCACATTTAATGGCTTGAAACTTGGAGAAAAAAAAGACCATTAGAAATGGCCTTTAGGAATGGTGTGAGAATATGATATCCTGAACAAACAAAGGTCTCTCTTATTTTGTGCTGTTATTTCAAGAAATTTATGTGTACATTCACATTTCGCTTGGTGTGTTGGGTAGAAAAATTCTCAAACGACTTTTCCTGAGGCGTTCACACGAGATCTTCATCAAGCTAATAAGACAAAGAGTTCAAAGAAACGAAAGGGAAAATGTAGATGGGGATAATTCTGAAACCAAAAGTAATTTATGGCTAATCAAAACTGTTAGTAGGGTTATATAAGTAGTGTTGCAAATTTATTCTGCACAAATGGAGCCTAGAGATATGTGGCAAATGAATGTCAACGATGCAGCTGTCCTACGATGGAGAGCGGCGAGAACCAGCAGCAGTAAAGGATGTTACGGTTGACAGTGTGTAAAGCACGCTGGTAAACGTAGGTCTAATAAATAGGTCATTTATGGCTTGCGCGAGGACTGTTATAATTGATGAGGTGCAGCAGACTCTAATTTGAGGGATTTGGGCGGCCTGACACATTGTGCTTATGTTACCTTGGAACTTCACCGGGCGTTCATTGCACGTGCTATGCCTCCCGAGCCTCCAAGCAAATGTACATGTATTCAACTTGTTGCTGGCTGTCAAACCGCGTCAAAAATGGCCGGAAAGTTGGCAAAGAGTGTGAGGTGGGAACGTCTGTTGTTCCTTTGAGCAAATGGAAAAATGTTCGGAATTTCAAAAGGGTCAACGCTGAAGAAAGGTGGAATTGGTTGCTTCACGTAAAGCTGTTGAGCGTTTTATTTTAATTTTATATGTCGCCTACAAAAATTCGCCTCACGTGAATTTATGAACCGTAAAGAAAAACATTTTTGGCACTAGGATGAGTAACAAAATGCAAGGAATTAAGGATACTCGCATAAAACACGTCAGCGATAAACCGGTTTAAGAGCAGCCTTCAAATAGTCCACTGTATCAGTTTTTGAAAGTGTATTAATAACTACTACAATAAATATCTGATGTTAATGTAACTCCCAAACAAACTTGTTAAAACACAGATGTCAAGTTACCATTGCTTTTTTGCGATAAAAACGTGATATTTTGGATGGGACAAACAACATGTGGCAGTTCGAGGTAGATTGATCAGGTTTTGACTTTGATATGAGTTATCATGATTATGAAACGTGAAAAAAACAGTGCTGAAGTGTACACTCATTTTATTTTTTAAACGGTTGACGGCATAAGAGCTGTAAGTTGCCATCCAGCAATCCACAAAAACCTGATGAACTTTCCGTTAAAAACACGTGGAAATAATTGGGCTTATATGATATGATACACTAAATAAAGGAGCTTTATGATGCAGGTAGAAAAAATCAGCAAGAATTTCATCATCACCTCCACGTGTAGAGCCAAACTAACACATTTCCAACATTTTTTTTTCCTACAATAAGATTCTCCACGGCTCCTTAGCAGCCGCTTAAAGATCAGCCATATTCTGAAGTTACAATGGATTCTTCAGATTTGTTTTCTGAGTGACACTTTGAATTGAGTTAGCAGAAAAGGTAATAAGATTTAGTCTTTTGTTTCAGATGGCATACAAGGCGGTGGTTGTGCTCCTGGCTCTAATGTTGCTGATGACACCGTGCCACTTAGAGGAGCTGATTGATGATGCAGACGCCCTCAGTCTCTTGAAAGACATGATGCTGAGAGAGGCCAGGGGAACTAGCAGTAGACATGATCAAGTTTGTAAGTATCAAGACGCAGAAAGGAACATTTTGTGTTTCTTTTAAGTGACTGAAATACCTCGAATTTTAGGATGGATGTGATGTCAAATAAGGATTATAGTGCAAACAAAAGACGGTGTCTTTAAGGAAGGCTAAAACCAGCTGTTCGGAAGCTATCCCATTTTCTGTCATTCCTTAGCCAACTCCTCGCTTTCAAAATATTGTATTTTAACAAACAAGCTACCAAATATTGCACACTAACAAAGGTTTGCCTCCGAAGTCTGACACATTACTGTGGATTTTTTGTAATTCAGCGCACTGAATACATCAACCTTCAAATGTGCTCGGAATCCAAAGATAGAAAGTTCAGCGTCAACTGTTGATGTTCTAATAGAGTCAAGTTGTTTGGCATTAAGCAGTACTGGATTGCCTTCCAAAATACTTCTGTTCCCAGTAAGGGATCAGCGACAGATTAGCGAGCCCCCAGTCATGCTGCAAATGATGTTAATTTGTACGTCCTACTTCAAGCTACAGAACGCTTATCTTTGATTTTAAGTACTGTTTTTGTTTAGACGCTTTCATGCCCTCGGTTTAAGTTTTTCTTCTCTTTTTTTTCGCTCTTATAGACCTTACAAACGAATATTGAAGTAATCAATCTCGTCTCAGACTGTTTCCTTTAGTTTCGTGATTGTTTTTCTTCCGGATATTGTGTTTTTCTGCTTTGTTTTAGAAGAGCATTATGTCGTGACGTAGTTCAAAGTCAGGTAAAATGCAGGACTGCTTTTTGACCCATCTCAATTTCATCTCAATTTCTTCTTTGTTATAAAGATAATCACTTGCTTTTGGGCATGTGATTAGTAAGAGGTATTGCAGCATACCTGTGTACAAAAATTGGTTTTTTTTTCAGGAGGTGAATTTTTATGTGCCGCCTTTGACAGAAGTGGCAAGTTTCTTTTGTTGCCCATTGTATTTTGTCCAAAGTGATTGGTTATCGGGCCGGTGTTTAAACCTGATTTCATGTACCTGTCTGTGGCCTTATCCCTGTTCCGTCCGTCAGTTGTCTTCGCCCTTTGTTTGTTTTTGTGGTTTTTTTGAGTGAAAGACTGTGTAGGGAAACCACTGCTAATTTTCATTTTTCTCTTCCACAAATTGCACTTGTCCCTCGTTTAGCGAGGAGCTAGTGAAAACACTACGTCGTATATCTGGCGAACCGGCAAATCAACCGTTTTGGTGATTGTCAGATTTTATCTCACAAGCTGACGAACAGGTTTGATACCAGTATTCAAACAAGCTATTTCTCATATAGTCGAAATTAGAAATTAGGAAATGATTGCGAAGACCAAGTTTGTCTATTTTGTACACAGAAATGAAAAGAGGGTTGAATTAAAATAGCGCCCAATAACTTTTAACCAGAAACGTGTTTTTTTCGAAAACGGTGATATTTCATGTTTCGTCGTTTTGCCAGATGCAACGACTCGTTTTCTGTCGTATCTTTTTCCCACAGATCATTTTGTCTGTCATTTCGCATTTCTACTAGAATGACCTAAAAACGTGCTAATGCAACAAAGACAAGTACGCCAAATTTGCTTTAAAGACTGAAAAGGACTATGGATATTGAAGGGAAAAGAGAGAGAGAAAGAAAGATAAAATACCAACAATTGGGGTAGGGAAAAGGGTAAAAAGGGTCGCAGTGAATGCGATGTATGACGACAATCCCTGTGGAGTTCTTCCCCGACAACGATACGCCAGTGACAACACCATTTACTCCTCAGACCGTGAAATCAATGTTGTACCTTATCCATTTGGTTGATAGAGTAATTCTACCCCGTTTCCTCACCATCGTCAAATAAATCATGGCGCTTTTAGGTGTATGGTTTTACTGGCGATGTCCTGTCACTATTAATACTTCTCTTGATTTAGGTAGGCAGCGTTTCACCATCTCGTGGTAGGATTATTTAGCAGACGTTGCACGGTTCATTGCATCAGATTTTCCTGACCATTCACATACGCTTGCTTGTACAGGCGTAAGCTGAAATAACAGACAGCTGGGTCAACATTTTTATGAATCTGATATTCATTATTTTTGGAAAAATATTTTAGTGAAGCTTCATTTTAACTCACACTGTCCTCTTTGTCAGTGTTGCAATAACGGATAACAGAGCCCCCCCCCTGCACTTCAGCCTCACCACCTACACTGGCAAAGTTATGGCTTTAAGGAATAGCTGCAATCAATTTGTTTCACAAAAACCTTCAAAATGTGCTTCAGTTAACCTGGTTAACCCCAGTTGGTCCTATCGTGTCTCATTTAACAATATTTTCAATTTTTGTTTCACTATTTTAGAGCGTGGGGGTGATGCTAATGAGCGCTTTCATATTCAAGAGCAAATCTGTGATGTCATTCCAGGAAGAAGGCATGAATATTTTCATTGGCTTGTACATAAAACCACGCGTTTCTGCAGTAACTGGACTAAATTTTGTCGTCTTTGCTGATTCATCGTTGCTTATGCAAAAACACAAGCATCAATTCCTTCTCAGACATGTTTTCAGTACGTACATCTTGGGTTCACAATTTGAACAGAAAACCTTAGTTTGCACTGAACTATAGCACACCAAAAACGCCCTCAGTTGTGCACGATGTTGGGTAATACATTTTCCAAAATTTTAAAAAGTGCACGCTTCAATGCTTTCAACCTTAATATCAATGTAAAAGAGTTTTCAAAAATTGAAGAAGAGTACGTAGTTGAAGAAAAATTGTGCCTCTCAACTACACTTAAAACTAACCTCATGCGATTGAAAAAAACTGTAGGGCCTCGTCTGGTTTGACTTATTGGTATGGTGCTTTGTGCTGTATGTGGTGTGGATCTTGCCTTTGGGGCTCTACGTTTTCTTGTTTTGGTTGATCTGGTCTGGTGAAGTCTCATCTTATTTTGTCTACTCCGTCCTCAGCAAACTAATGCATTATCTGTATCGTTCCGTAACCTATAACAACTATGCAGTACTCTTTGGTGCATTGCAAAGCTTTATTCTGTCATTAGGTTTTGTATGAGAATTACCATCCCTGTTTTCTTCTCAGTTTAGTTCAAAACTGCACAACCCAGACGTGTTTGCAGAAACGGGATGGTTAACCCCTTTGGATACAAAAATATTACCAATTTGATGATGAACCCAGGAACCTTGTGAATTAACACCCGTCTGCTGTATCCCAGGTAAAGTCGTTTGCCAGACGTCCAAAACTGAGTTGGATGCATTTCTCTGACACACTTAGGCGACCCGAAGTATAGCGAGTCTTTCTTGCGTTAAATTAATGATGATTCACACATCGAAATGGCAAACTTTGTAGTCATAACGCGTATGCCATCTGAAGGAGCTGTTGAGATGACACTCAACCAGGGAAGGGGAATTGCTACTGGTGTTGGGTGACATAGATCGTTGCCTTACCAGGTTGTCGTTCGGATGAACCCTCCAGGATAAGATTTCACCTTGCGTACACACAATTTTACACGTGCGTGTGCGCTTCTTAAGTGATTTTCGTTTTCTAATAGGTAATGCTGCGCCCTCCGCTTCACTGTCAACCCAGCAAAGTATATCTGAAAGCTGGCCTTGATGGATGATGAACTTCTCTTTTCAGTTTCCCAAATGAATTCAACGAATGTTAGATTTTTTTTTTACTGCTTGGAAAAGGAGAGAGAGTTACAGGGAGGGGGCCTTGCGCATAAATCCGGCAATTAAAATTAGATTCTGCGTGTTCGACGCATAGGGATTTACGCAAATATACTTCTTTTCGGAGAGAACATTTTCCATTTCGAAGAGCACCATTTTCCCCTGCCGCAGGGGAAAATAGTGCGGTAGAAATTGACAATTTCAATATAACACAGCACCTACGATTGATTGCAGGGATTACGCCACGTCAGGCTGATATCCACCACTGTCTGTTATCCATGCTTTGAAGCAAATCTTCCCAGTTTTGGAATTGAATTCTTTCACAAGACAGACGTCTAAAACACTGTATAAACAAAATGGGCTGCCATCTAATGAAACTCTCAGAATTACAACACTGGTTAATTAACTGGCTTTATAGGTAATTTTTGATAGAAGAAATGATCGTAGAGGCAAAATATTTGCTGTATATTTTCAGTGTTTTCTATGTCAGTTGGCACCACAAGGGTTTCTTATGTGGACAGCAGATCTGCTTAAGATTTTGTTGTGCCTCAATAAATATTTTCGTTGTAACATACCGATAGATTTTTTTCTGTACATTCATTTAGAATCTTAATATTGTTATTACAAATGCCACGTTAATGTAAAGAGGTTTATTGCTGTACTGGTACATAAACAGTTTTTTGTTTTTTGGGGAGACGGTTTTTCCCGACTTAACAATTATATCTGTGAAAATAACGTAGAAAAGGTTGAAAGAGGCTGCTTACAGGCTTTCTACGTTTTTTTGTTGGTTATTGACACGTTTGGGTTTTGCTAAATGTGTTAAGACATATTTCCTCACCTGATGGGCGCAGTATGATCACAGTTGCTACGATACTAATCTAAAATGACACGCAGCTTGCTCATATGTGCATCGCTTTTTCTTCTAGATTTAGTCAGAGTTAGCAGGTGGCAGATTGAACCTGATATGTTTTAGCAGTTCCTATTTGTTGACGCGCAAGATGACTTAAAATAAAATTGTTTCTCAACAAAAACATTGACTATTACTTGCAATAACAGAAAACACGAGCAAAACGGCGAAACCAGCTTTATGAAAGTGGTTTTATGCACTAAGGTCAATATGAAAATTTAAGTTCATTGATTTTACAGAGAAAAATTTTCCATTTATTAAGCTTTTTAAGGGTTTCTGTAGTAAGTGCGTCCATTACAAAGATTTCTATTAATTACTGATACATTTTACAGAAAACCCTTTGTAACACAACACAATAACTTTGTCAATAGGGGAATTTTGATATAATTTTATTTAATTTTTGAGAATCAGAAATCCAACTATACCTTTGCTATTTTTCGATTTCTAACTTTTTG